ACGGGTTCATACTAATTTTACCGAAAAAAAAAAAATTTCGCATGTTATGCGGAGTGTGCTGGCTGGTCATGGCCGTTTATTAAATTATTGTGCTTTCACGTTTCCTGTGCAATTTCGTAAAGAGCAAACATCGATTCTATGCAAACGACTGAACGAACTTTTTAATACAGCATCATGCCAATCTTAACCAACCATGTACACATCATTTCATAACCATGGTAAATATTTGATTTTACTGTGATAAAACACAATTGAACGTGCGTTGTTATATTATAAGCAAACGTTACAAGCCTTTGTATTACCCCTCGCATAGGGCTTTTTTGCTACTAGCAAACGATACATTTTACCACTCGCATATGCCGTTTTTACCACTAGCATATGGCATATTTTGCTACTTGCGACTCGCAACTTGGTACTCGCATACGGCACTATTTCTAGGTCGTACATACCTGCATTTCCAGAAGAAACACAGGATGATCTCCAGAAATTTAATTTCTTGATGACTTCAAAAGATGATGTAATAATAAAAAAGATTGGCAATTATATTCATAACGCATTTCAATCAAGAAATGAAAATGACATTTGATATGTAACAGTTGCTTTATCCTATTAACAACTAACTTTCTTTTTGTAGTAGTAGTTATCACAACAAATCTTTATCGCTATTAACTGATAGAAACATTGTATTTCTAAGGATGCAATAAAGTTATTATTATTATTGGTTAGAATAAAATTCAAGACAAGTGTGTGTAACTCATGCAGAATTAGATCCATATATTACTATGGTAACATAGAAGTTGAATAATTTTTTTTATAATATCTCGGCTATTTATTTATATCAATAGACACCAAACAATAAAGAAGCCACAGTTTCTTGGCACCAAGGTACGTGAGCTACAATCAGATTTCATTTGTTTGCAGTGTCAGTTGAATTAGTGTCCATAAATTTGTTGCATCTGTATTTCCTGAATATAAATTTTAAGAATTCAATTTTGTCCACTCAAACAACTGCTTTAAAGAATTGAAGAAAGTAAGTGAGTATATATGAGCTAGCAGACTAATATGGCATTTTCATATACACCATAGGTACTGCTTACTTGGCTTCTGATGCAGTTAATATATTACAGCCAAATCATAATTTTACGGAACTCCATTTACAAATATTATGCTAATAAGACAAGATATCTTAGCACATCAATGGATGCTCATTTGTTGGCGGTATCAATAAATGGCAGAAATATTACCTTATCAGTATTTGTTTGTTCCCATTTTGAATGAAGGCTGGGAACTAGGTCCTGTATCCAAAGCCATATTTAAACATGCTTTGCTCGATTATTTTTCGAACTTAAAGACCATGTATTATAACTTACATACGCCTGGTGATATTTTTTGCCATTTGCCACAGTCATCAAATATTTAAATATCAAATATTCTGATATTTAAATGTGTTCGGAACTATTTCATTCAAACTGTGTAATATGATTAAGCATAACAGGCTACAGGTGCATTTTTTTTTCTATGGCAAACTGGTGGCTATTTTGTTTTATTCATATTCATGCTGATTAATTACCAAAGTAAAATAAACTTTCAGTCGAAATTACGAAATCCAGTCTGTCTATTTCTGTTTGGTCTTGACATATATCCCATACATAACACAGCCTCATAACCACAGTTCATTCAAAAGCAATAAACATCTCACAGTCATTAATACCTTCAACTTATGATGGTACATAATTTTGACAATTGATTGAATTTACTAAAATGCATTTAGCAGATTTCTACTGGCTGCTATTACTATATCAACATTTATTGTTTTATGAGCTCCCTTTTGAACATTTTTTGAAACTCACACATTTCTGAAAACACTGTTTTTGTTTCTAGTTTAGAGAACAAATCTGAAGCACATTAGAGTCAAGACTTACAATGACAAAAATCTGATCTACCTGGTGACATGTTTGGTATGAAGGATAATATACTGATTAGAACTATAGTAAAGAACCAAACCATGTTATTGATAGAAATGTGGTATGTGATTAGATTATATTATTTAGTGCTTGTTTGAATGCATACAGTCAGTCTAATCAATATTTGTACCACTCAAGTTTACAAAAAATTCGTCTCATTCATGAATTGATATCTAAGTCTCCATTCCTACTACATATTTTCAAGAAATACACACATGACGAAAACATGGGGAAATTCTGTACACAATTCTTTTTAGACATCAACATATGTCAACTTATCCACATTTATACATGTACCGGTACCTTTAGTTGTTGCTATACACCGATGGAAAGTATTTCTAAAAATGCAATTAAATTATTGTAATACATGTATGAACAATAACTCGTCCAAATATCAACATTTATGTAAAAAAAAATCTACATTGTAAAGTAAAACATTTCTCTTAAATGCATATATATAACATTCTTTTTTCAAATTTTCAGAAAAATGAGAACAAGGATGAGTTTGATACCACCATATCTGGACTATGGATGACTCGATGGGGAATCACACATCATAATTGCCATACCGCAAAACTTGTTAAAAAACAGCAAGATGTTACACAACAATGTTTACTGAATGTTGAAGTCAATCATCTTGAATGAATTTTGATAGATCATGATTTACAGAGTAATTTACAGAGTAATTTTTCAGCCAAACCGGATTTTATTGCTATAAAAACTAATCAGAAAACTAAGTCAGAACTGTGAATAATATTTATGAAAGACACTCATTCTATCACTGAAAGTATCACAAATACCAGTATTAATAAATCACAGGGAGTCAGGGTACCATTTTTTTCGGGGGGGCTCTCTGTGGTTCAACACTTAGAACAAAAAACAACACACGTGATAGCTTTACACCAGTTTAATGTAAATTATTGACAAAAATAAAATTGAAATAATAAAGAGCAATATTATGAAATATCAGCTTGGCATTTTTGTATTATTATTTGTGTCTGTCTTGCATTGACCAACCATGACTTGACTAACTTCCCACAGTCGCCTAGCAGTTTCATCATCGTCATTCATTGCAGCACATTTCTTCTGCTGGCAGTCTCTATTAATAGAAAAAATATAATTTTTAAGCATACCATCAGTTGTGACAGTATGTTATCTCATCTATTTTTACATGGATCAACAAATTTACATTTTTCTACTGGTTTCAAAAGTGATATGTGCCTGAATTTACGAAAGGCTGATTTTTGTACTTCAACGATTTTTTGACACTTCAACGACTGTATCAGGTTGTAAAAGTCTACATCTTAGTATACTACCAGTCTCTTTTCATAGTGTTAGTGATGAAATCTGAAACCGTGTATTCTCACTTAAGGAAATTTCACCATGTATGATTGAGATCCTGCTTCCGATTGATGTAAAATCTGATTTTGATGCATTTTTGGCCTTAAAATGACAATGTTCAATCTGATATGATTCAACTTTATTGGTTGAAGCATGTGCAAAATACTGCGGGATACGTTTACACACACTAACTAACTAACTAACAAAATATGCTACAAGAATACTCACACAAAATATTTCCCAGAAACCGTTTGAAGTTTTTCATCAACAGCACAATATATAGTAGTTTGGGCACCCTGTTGTGGTGTTTTCACAAATAACCAAAATAGTGGTCCAAGAACAGCCATAGTGAATCCAGAGTTGTGCATTCCTGTGTGTCTACCAATCTCAGTTTTAACAACACCTGGATGAAGAACATTTGCTGTAACACCAGTACCTATCAATTAATTAGCACATTCAAATTAATCTGTGAATGCATGGATGTTTCATCCAATGGTTGGCAATTTATGACAAATCTTACTGCAAACTTTTTGGACAATTTCAATCAACTTTTTTATTCACAAGAATAATGAAGTGTAATTATGGCAATTTAAGTTGAATTAAAATTTTACACC